AAAAAAAAAAAAAAAAAAAAAAAAGCGAAGCGATTGACATATACATGTCAGCTATAATTTCCAAAGCGGGGAGTAGACAGACAGGTAAATATAGCTACATGGCAACCAGAAGTTCAGAACTTCTGAACAAGGGTATATAGATATATAGAGAGAGTAGTACTAAAGACAGACAGGTATCATACCTACAGCTATGGATCTCTGTATTGAAACAGGAGGAGAAAAGTGGAAAAATGCCCCAAGTCGTTCAAATGAAATTAGCACAAAATGTGAGGCTTTACTCTCGAGGAGGACATAATGTGCCAAAACGAAAAGATAACTGGAGTGCATTCCTGCAGCCCAACATCGCCCTTCTGCCTCGTCCACTCAGGCGATGATCGCTCAGCCTTTACTTTCTTAAATAGCTGGTCTCCCAAGCTTCTTCTGAGAAACAAAAACTGTCTGAGTCAAAATGTTGCAAAGGAACAGAAGTGTTTAAACCATACTAGAAAATTAGTAGAAAATTAAAAATGCTTGGAAGGAGGTGTCAACAGTACAGTACTGTTTGAGGTATAGATAGATAGACAGGTAAGAGAGATATAGTATCTATCTATAATATATAATTATTATAATATAATAAAATATTATAATATAATATTGAACCATTGAGAAAATAAAATGTTTTGAAAGTTGAAACAGAAGGAGATTCATGAGATTCATGCAAGAGCTACAGCCCCTGAGAAAAACTGTAAGCATCTGTGTCTATGTAGCAAATGAAGCCCCAACTGTTTAAACAAATTTGTATTTGTGTCCATCACAGTATGTAGTATGTAGTATGTGCCAAATTCACAGAGCTGTTGGAAACACAGCACTGAAAATTTTCTTCAGAAGCAGCAGGTGTGCTTAGAGCACTGTTACGCGTCTTCTGGGACATCCGTTTAAAATTTAAATTGGAACAATACCTAGCTTTCCCGGGGCCGGGTGCCGCCTGGGGTAACCCGGGCATGAAAAAAATCCACTTAGTTCTTTTTCTTTTCTTTTTTTTCACGGGCATGCCCTTGCTGCGCTTTGGCAGTACGATCCAAATCCGGCCTCAATCTTTTTTTTG